AGGAACTATACAGTTGTTGGACTGCAAGTCTTAGTAGCCCTAGCCAGAACAGCCAGTGCTGAGGAATGCTGGAAATGGCAGTACAACAACACATGCCTGTCCATGGATTTGTCCTATCTGCTTTGAAAACCATCTAACTTGTCTGCCTGCCTATACTAGTCCTTCTGGTGGTGAATTACAGAGTTTAACTATGTATTCTATGAAGAACTATTTCCTTTTTTCTGTCTAGAGTCTGCCACCAATCAGCTTCAAGGGATGATCCCGGGTTCCACTATTGTGAGAAAAGGGGAAAAACTCCCCCCATGCATTATTTTTAACATCCTCTTTGTACTTGTTGTTGTACTCTTTGTGTTGGAGTATTACCATCAAAGATATAGCTGTGTTAGTATATTTTCCTTTGAGAAGGGGCAGTGTCTTCTACACAGAAACACTGATGTATATCTCTATGTTCATTTGGTCAGTGGGTCTGTGAAGAGATCACTTCCCATACCCTTCCTCTTCCTGGGGGTTTCTTCCTGGGGTAATAATCTTTTATGATTCTTTGTTTGGTTGCACACTTTCCTCTCTATTCCTACCAAGCGTGGACGCAGAAACCAGGTTTTGCTCCTAAAGATGTTTTTCTTCTTACTTGCACACATAGAGGTCAGCTATCTATGGTTTTCTCCACTGGGTAGTTATTTTTGTAGAACCTAGATGTAACAATAAAGTAAGTTTCTTTTTACCTACCAGTGTATCCTGTTTATTTACCAGAAGCTCAGATCTAGTTTTTACCAAATACCTGTTGAGTATACTCATGTTGCTGCAGCTGCTGCTAAACTGATTTAACCACAAATAACCAAAACCATAATTCTAACAGTTTGTACTTGCTGTTCTCCCACAAACACCCAGCTAAACAGCCCAAAACATTAATACCCATTGTGGGGTTTCTCTGATCATTTTGATCATTTTGGTTGACTTTCTCTGCTGCTGATGTACTCTTTGCAATGGTCATGGCCCAGAATTGCACTTTGCATTCCAAGCCTAATCACATCATAGATTTGTACAAAGGAATATTGGGTGCTCTGTTTTCAATGCCTTTCTTCATCATTACTACAAGAATGGAAATTTCAGCATTTAGTACCTCAGGAAGGCTTCTCTCACAATACAATGCCTTTGTGCCAGAAGATAAATGCTAGATGTTTGCTTCTCCAAGCTTTGGCGTCCTCCAGATGTCTTGGAGTACACTTCCCAGCAGTCCCAGTGGTGGGGGATGGAAGCTGAAATCCAAAAGAGGGAGAGGAAGAAAGACTGTTGAAAAGCTAAACCTGGAGAAGGAAGTCAATCCTGCCTACCAGTGATTGCAAAGAGAAGCAAATTTTGTAGGTTAGTCGGTACCGTCCAGACTGTGTTCATTTCAGAAAGGTGACAGACCCAAAGACAGTCCCTTTTTACACTTGCTTCCGATGACGTCTGGGGACCTGTAGTTATCACTGAGACAGCGTGGTGTAGTGGCTGGAG